GAGATATACATACATGCACACACACATTTATATGCATAAAAACATACATATGTAGTGTTTTATATATAACCATATATATACACACGTATATACATACACACACACGCACACACACACACACACACACACACACACACACACACAGAAGGAATAAACTTGTTTGCAACTGGCCTGACAGAAGAGTTCCTGAAACCTAACCTTTTGTTTAAAGGGAAAAATGGAAGGGTAAACTTGAACTCCCTATACAATGGGACAAAGCCAGAATATGATTGATCCCTGGGTGTGGGACAAGGCTTGAATTGTGCCTTTCTTGTGGTCATCTAGAGGCATAAAAGGTCCCATTTACATGGGGCTGATACTCTTCCAAGTTGGTGGATGCCAGAAGACCATTTAAGTTGCCACATGCTATCCTACGTAATAGACACATTTTCATGTGGAAATGAGAAAGACCATGTCTGTCAAAGGTAAGTGCTACGGTAGCCTTGTTGTATATCCTTACTATGTTACAGCTAAACAAACCTCCTTTTGTTAACTGTTCAGTAACTTAAGAGTGCCTTATTTAACCCAACATCAAGCCTTTACTAACAGGGTACCAATGTTCAGCTCTCCTCCACTTACAATGTTTCAAACAGCGGTTTCAAAATTAATAGAGGCCTTCACCCTGATATCCATCATACAGGTTTCAATTTTAAGAGGTCTATTATAGTTCAACATTTTTCATTTGTTTGCTTTTTTTTTTCTGGCCTCATTTTAAATTTTAATTTAAAAACCCACCTTTTTTGGCATATATATTCATTTGAATGTGTTTTGCTTCACCAGCTAGGCTTTTAAGTGGTAGCGTTTTTGTTTGTTTGTTTTTTAAAGAAGGACTTTGAAAGAAAATCTTGTCAGTCTGGTTTTAAAGTGATAGCATTCCAATGACTAAGAATGTTAAACTGAACCCTTCTCAGCATGACGAGGATCTAAGACATCTCCAGAGGCCTCGGGATGGAAAATGCTGTCCACATCCAAAGACAGAACTATGGAAGTCGAATCGCTCTCACTTATTTTTACCTTCAGTTGAGTTTTGTTTCATCTTTCTGATGGTTCCTCCTATTGGTTTTAATTTTTACTTACAACTTCACTGAAGTGAAAATATATTTAATGAGTATGTAAATGTAAAGCCTATGTCAGATTGTGCGCCGTCTTGGGGGAGGGTGGGGGGGAGGAGAAAAAGGGAGAAAAAATTTTCGACTCAAAAGCATATGGAAAAAATAAATTTAAAAAAATATAAAGTGATAGCATTCCCTCTCTTCCCTCCCCCTTGACAGAGGTATTTGGCCCTCCATTTTATTTTCAGATAGCTTTACCATAGATGTAATTTGACACAATGATTCCTGGAATTATTCTCTCAGTGATTATTCCAGGAAAGCTCTGCTTATTTTCAATATGTTTCTTTTATAATTATTTCTGGAGATATAAAATATATAAATTTAGTAGTACCTCAATCCAGTTACCAGAGAGATATGTTTTAGAGCTAGACAAAATAATAACAAAATTCATTGGGTCTAGAAGCTCTATGGAAATAATGACATATAAAACTTAGGACTGAAGACAGAAAGGCATGTCTAGACCTCAAATTATAGCACAAAGTAGTGATCATCAAAACTATTTTTAAAGAATAGAAAAGTAGATGACTATGACAGACTAGATAAGGAAGAACTGGAAACAACTGAACTTATAACCGAGCATTTGATGAACTGGAGAGCCAGTTTGGAGATAGTTTGAATGTTTGGAGAGTATTAATCATTTGAAAAACTACCCATTTTGATAAAAAGTTTCGGAAACGTGGCAAGACAGTTGGAAATTAAGTTTAGATAAAAAGATTATACCACACACCACAATAAGCTCAAAATGCATAGAAGACCTCAAGATGAGGTGTCTTCCATACCTACAGTTAGAGAGAGTTCTGAACCAAACATGGGCTAGAGACCATCACAAAAAACAAAATAGATCATTTTTATTATGAGAAATGAAAAAAAACATTTTGCATGAATAGAATCAATGCAACCAGCACTAGAAGGGAGGTTATTTGCTTGAGGGAAATCTTTGCATCATTTAATTCTGAAAAGAGTACGATATCCAACATATGTAAGGAGATAAAAGAAATATGTAAGATCAAGCACCATTTCATTAGAATGAAAGCTCCTTGAGCACAGGGATTACTTCATTCTTTGTAACTGTATCCCTTCCATCTAGCACAATGCCTGGTACATAGTCGACGCTTAATGTTCATTGATTGATTGATTGATTCTCTTATTGCTAAGTGATCAAACACTGAGCAGAAGTGTTGTTAATTATTAACAATAATGTTGCTCCAGATCATTCAAATAAGAAAGGTACACATCAACACAATTCTGAGATTTCACTTTATAATCAGTAAATGGGCGTAGATGAGGAAAGATAAAGAATTTTCAGTATTGAAGGACCTGTACAAAAACAGGCTATTGGCAGACCTATAAATTAGTCCAACAGTACTGGAAAATAATTTGGAATTATGCAAAAAAGTGACCAAAAAGTCTATACCATTTGACCCAGAGATCTACTATTAGACATATGCCCCAAGGAGGTATAGGGAAATAAAAGTCCCATATACACAAAAATATTCATTATAGCACTATTTTTAGTAGAAAATAACTGTGGGGGAAATGTAAATGACCATCGATTGAGAAACGTCTAGACAAATTGTGGAACATGAATCTAATAAAATATTATTGTGCCATGTGCCACTGTATGTGAAGAATTCAGAAAAGCATGGCAAGAGTTATATGAACAGACGCAGAATGAAGAGCACAGAAGCAACAAAAAATATATATAGTGAGTATAAAATGTAAATGCATAGAACAAAAAATAAAACTGAAGGCCATGAAATTATTAGTGACTAAACTTGGCCCCAAAGATAAGATAAGAAAATGTTCCTAGGTGATGAGTGATTTATGCTTCCAGATTTTTTTTATGGGCTCCTGTGTATCCTTAGTGCCATGCTTTTTCTGTTACAGCTGTTCCAAGTTCAATACCTATGTTGTACATTGAGGGCCAGTGAACAATTTGGGAACCCTGTTATCCATTTATCCATTTTATTTTCAGATAGCTTTGACACAGATTTAATTTGGCACAATGATTCCTGGAATTATCCTCCCAGTGATCATTCCAGGAAAACTCTGCTTATTTTCAATATTTTTCTTTTATAATTCTTTTATTTCTAGAGGTGTAAAATTTACAGATTTAGTAGTATCTCAATCAAGTTACCAGAGAGATATTTTTTAGGCCTGGATAAAATAATAACAAAATTCACTGGGGAAAAATGCTCTAGAATGTCTACAGAAATAATGAAATATAAAACTTAGGAAAAATGACTATACTTAAGTTTTGTTTTAGATATTTTTCTAAGTTAACTCTAAGTGGAACAAAGACCCAAAGAGAAAACTGACCACCTTGCTACATGAATTGTATACAAATAATATGGACAAATATAAATGTTATATAATATGTCAGTCCATAAACATTTAATAAGCTCCTTACTCTTAAAGAGAAAACTAAGACATATAGCCCCGGTTTATATGCATTTTTAATCTTTAAAAACACAAAGTCAGCATTTACCCTGAGTACCAGTTACTCAATTTGCATGCCACCTGTCGGTGTTACTTATCAAATAGTGTTTGTTATTTAATTCTTCCTGATTGCAGTCTTTCAATTGGAGCACCTCCAACTGATGAATAAGGAAACTCAGGACCAGAAAAGTTGAGTAACTTTTTTTGTCTGTGGACTTTTAGGAAAGTGATAACATATCAGTAGCTTGGAACAAAAACTATGACTAACTATCAAACTACTTACCTGTTTGCATGTCTTTCATGACAATTTTGGAAAAGGGCTGTTTCAAAAGGATATCTGTAAATTATAATTTAGTGTATTATAGCAATATTATTAGACTTGTCAGTGATTGTTAATAACTCAGAGTATTTGTCAATAACATGACTAACCTCTTTCTCCATCCTTCCCAGGGTGACATGTATAGTATTTTTGCTCTCTTGAGATGAAAACATGATCCCAAACACTTCGGGAACAAGAAATCAGCACAGATTTCTCATTCTCAAGAGAACTCATCCTAAGGTAGGTGGAACAATATCAGCACCTAGTGGTTCTAGGAATTGCATGTATATTTGCTAGCTACAAGTGATAAAGCAAAGAACTATGTTTGTTCTAAGGATTATACATTTTTTTCTTTTGGGGGGGTAGGAAGTAGTTTGGGGGAATTAGGGAGGGATTTCGAAGAAAGGAAAGAACCAATGAAAGTTGCAAAAATAAAAGGGGGAAAGGAAAAAATTATTGGAGCATCTTTTAAAGTACACAGAAGGAAGTTAAAAGGGAAACACCAAGAAGTAGGACAGCTTTGAAAGTAATATATTGAATTTATTATGTAGTAATATTGTAGTTAATCAATACAATAATGTAGTCAATTTATAAGTTTTTAAAAGCAAGTTTTGTCATAAAGATTCATGGTTTCATATACAAACTTCTGTTTTATTTTACATATAGAAATGTACTTTTTTTAGTGTTCTTTAATTTAGCGTTTTAAAAAAAAGTTCACAGGCTGGAAAAAAGAGAAATATGAAAACACTTGTAGTAGGATTTGGAGCTTGCTTCAAATAGGCCTTTATCAGCCATCTCAGAGAACATGTGCTAAGGCTTCCCCGGAAACTTCTAGGAACTAAGGGATGGCAGAGTATTTAAGCCAACATTGGTTGAGGCTAGATCTCAATGGAGCTTTGGTCACCTAGAATCAGGACAAAAAAAAGAAACCCACAGCAGAAGAGGGCCAACCTCAAGCTTACCTAGCTGACCCATATGTCCTTTGCAGCACTTTTATTTTATCCAATGAAAAGATTTTTTTTTTTTTAAAATCATCATTATGAGCCAGAGCCAGTAGGATGTAAGCTGGGAGAGGCCAGGAACAGCTTGTCTTTTTTTTTTTTTAATATTTAGTACCTAGCATAATTCCTCACATATAAAAGGTGCTTAGGAAATGATTATTTGGCAGGGAGGGCAAAAGTTCACAGTCCCTTCCCCAATGTCTCTTGGGGTAGTTCTGATTTGTAGCTGAAGAGAAAAAAAATTAGCTAAGGCCTAGTCATTCCATTTTAAAGAACAGCTGAATGACTAATCCTTCTCGCTCACTGGCCAGTGAGTGGATTGCTTAGTCAAATCAAAATAGTGGCCCTTCAGAGGGGAGACAAACGTGTCCCTAAAACTCCTGAGGTCTCTACACAAATTCACTTGGAGCAGGCCTATTCTCATGCATGTTTCAATACCCAAGACAAACTCGTAGTTTTTCCTCCGAGCTAGACATAATTTTATTATAGCCACTTTCTTGTAGAGAGAAAGGTCATTTGGCTCATTCATATGCTTTCATATTTCAAACTGAAATAACAAACAAAGACTGTGAAATGATGAAAGTGGAAGTAAGCTATCCTAGTTCCTTCAATTGAAATTGTTTAAAGCATTTATGGTAAACTAATTCCCCCGCCCCCAAAAATGCCTCTTATCAGCCTTCTTTTGAAATATTGTTGATTTCCCCCTGTTAAGAAATATGTATCTACCAAGAAGAAATCAGAAAGCAAGCTTCTTGAGGGCAGGGGATGTTTTGTTTTTCTCTCTAACTAGCAACACACTAGGCATTAATAAATGCTTTGTCGAATATAATTGACTTGAAAGAAGTGTATTAAACAAAGATTCTTTCATTGGAATTAGTTACATTCTGCCCAGGAACGACAGCCACCTGTTTCCCATAGCTTCCTTGGCATCCAGTCTGTGAGAAAATAACCTTAAAACTGTACGCCTTCCTGTAGATTTACAAAGATGTGAAAACACATAGGTCTTTCAATTCTCACGGACCCATTTTTTCCCCTTCAGTTGGTAATTGAATTCTCAAAAGAGAAAATATTTTATAATTGTCAAATAGATGGCATATAAGATTTGCTAAAGGAACCCAGCTTCTTGGTACATACTTGAGTTAGTTGATGGCTAAGCACGTGTGTTTTGGTGTGCTTTCTGTTGGAAGAGCAATCTTCTAATTCCATGCCAGGGTCAGATGTTGTACCTAGACAAAAGATAATTCTATTATTATAGAGTCCTGCACAATGGAGTGTGTTACAATATCACCTGTGTTTCTATAGCAACCCCTGGATGGTTTTAGCAGAGTAAAAATAAATGCATGGAAAGCAAAGTGGTAAAGATGACAGGCGGAGAAGGTACCCTGGCACATATGGTAAGATAAAAGCTCTATAAAGAACATATGGCTTACATATGTTAACATATATTCTATTTTTAAAACCCAGATTGTGTAATTTAAAATAAACACCAACAGGTGAGAGAAGAAAGAAACAGTAGCTTGTTTCAAAGGTTTTTTTTGTTGTTGTTGTTACTGTTGTTGAAAAACAAGACTCCAATGACATGGGGAAATTTTCTAGCTTTGAGGCCAGACTTAAACTGAAAAAGAAGGTAAGGAACAAAATAGGTCAATTAAAGGATATACTGTCATGAGACTTTCACGGAATCATTGCTCAAGAGTCAAGAATATTGTAGACTGAAATTGTCATGTATTCTGGAAACTCAGCTCGTATAGGAAGACTTTCTAAACAAAATGGGTGAGAAGAGGTTCCTTTACCCCTCAATTCTTTCTCTAGCAAAAGATATTCAATTTATGCTTATAAATCACAAACATCCTGGGGGCTAAAAAACCCTCAGGAACTGTAAAACAAAAAATGAAAATGACACTTTAAGCAGTGATATACCTATAGTGGTGATCAATATGCAGATATATGATCAGAAGACTGGAGGGTAGAAATTCCTACCAAAGCCTTCCTTTATGGACGGCAAAGAAACTACTTTGGAAAGGAACAAACAGTCAGTTACAGCCTGCACTTTTATTCAGCAGAAGGGTATAAAAAAATATCACTATGAGCCAGAAGTTATGTAAGCTCCTTGAGGCCAGAGACAATTTGTCCTTTAAAAAAAACCAAACCTTTATCACCTAGCATAATGCCTTACACATAAGCAGTTTTTAGGAAATGTCTGTCAATGAAATAGAATGATCAATAGTTTCCCCCCTCATAGAATGTGCTGGGCATCAAAATTAGACATGTATATACACACATATGTAATATTTACATATTTTATATGTGTATGTATATGTATATAAACATATGTGTGTATATCTGCATATACATACAGATATACACATAGACAAAAGAAAGAAGGTCACAGGGCAACATGGAATTAAATCATATTTTTGTTATTTTGTTAAAGTTAATATGTATATTTATAACAAATGACCAAAAAATTGAGATTGATTTTGTATACTTTTTATTTTGTTTATCCGAATGCGTTTGGTATTTGCTGAGTTTATTTAAAAAAGGAAAAGAAAACAACAAAACACGTGCTGAGTACCTTTTTTTTGGACTAGGATATTCATAGCCTGTAGCCACTCTATATAGTTATAGATTTTTAGCTGAAAGGAACTCTAGAGATTTAGTCCAACCTTGCATATTAGTTTACCTATTAGAATGTAAGCCCTTGAAAGAGGGGGCTGTGTTGCTTTTTATATTTGTACAGCTCTTTGCCTGTTACGTAGTAAGTACATAGTAAATGGTTTTTTAATCATTCAAGTAAGTTCATGGCTCTTAAAGGCAGAGACATCTTGCTTTTGTTAATGATAATTTTGCAAATAGGATCATATCTTTTAGAACTCAAGGAAATCTCAGAGGTCATCTAGTTAAACCCTCTCATTTTGACACTGAGGCTCTGAAAATTCAAGTGACTTGTCCGAAGTCACCCAGCTAGTAAATCATAGACTTGGGACTCAGAATCAGACCCTCTGTAATTCAAGTCCAGTTTTATTTCCACTAAACCATGCTACAAGTAAAACTTGATGGATACGTGCAAGTATGTATATTTGTATATGTATGTCTTAGTGGTAGGTGGGCAGTTTGGAGAAGTTAACCATAGAGAGGTGAATAGAGGAAGCTCAGGTAGAGGGGGACAATGTGAAAGGTGAAAGCAAAAACTATTTCAGAGTTCTGGAATTTTAACTTGATTAGGGGTAGGTAGGGAAGAAGAGTATATACCAAACCTCCACTGGGTACTCATGAAGGTAGAACAGTGTAATAATAGTGCCCTTCAGAGATTTCAAAATATAAATGATGCAGAGTAACCATTTTTTGTTTAAAATTCGGTATAACATGTATAACCTGTATTGAATTGATTGCCTTCTCAGTGGTGAGGGGGTGGGGGTAGGAAGAGAGGAAGGGTGAGACTTTGGAACTCAAAGTTTTAAAAACAAGTTAAAAATTGTTTTTACATGTAGCTGGAAAAATAAAGTACTGGGAAAAAAATCCAGTATAACAAACTTCAGCAGTTTAAAAATATAAATATAAGTACAGTAAACTTATCTGGGAGCTAGTTTTCTGACAAACAGCATTCTAGATTAGAGCTGTAAACCTGAAATATAATTGGGACTCTGAAAGGAAAAGAGTCCCCTGAATAGGTGAAGCTGCTTAGAGTCCATGAGCTAAATTTCATTCCCATTATTTTATGAAAGGTGCCTTGTTATTCTTATTTATTCATATTTAAAGCATAAGAACAATACACTCAGTTGCTAGATTTCTAGCTCCATAAATTAGAAGCAAGATTAGAGAGGTCCAAGGGGATGTGGAGGGGAGACAATGAAAGATAGAAGTGACAGTTGACAATGGATAGTGAGAGAGGAGGGAGAAAACTTACAAAAAGCAGACACAAGAACTGAAAGTATAGTCTGAGTTCATTCCTGGAGGGCAAGCAACCCTACATTTTTTGCTTTGTTGTACTATAGCCAGATACAATAATTGTTGCTACTGATGAAAATAAGATCATCAAGAAAAAAATTATATGGTTCCATTTAATTTACTCTGCTTGAAAAGGCAGAGATGTATGTAAACACTCCCTCCAAAAAGTATTCAACTATTAACTTTTAGTTAAATATTAAAGTTTTATATTAAAAAACTAAATTTAAATTAAAATATTAAAGCCTAGACTGACATAGCCTGACCAAGTCTCTCAAACAATCCTAAGTGACTTCCAGTCCCACCTAGTGAGATATCTAAGTCTTATTCACACCTAGCTCACACTTCTCTGTGATTAATTAAATGAGATGTTTTATATTAAATAATTCATTCCTGACAATGCTAGTTAAATTCTGTTATTCTGATAGATTACTTGATCACCATAACTCCCATATTTATCTTGATGACTTGAAAAATACTCCACTTTGTTGTGAACTAGTCCAACTATTCTAGAGAATAATTTAGAACCATGCCCAAAGAGCCGTAAAACTGTGCACACCCTTTAACCCAGAACCACCACTAGGTCTGTATGCCAAAGAGAACAAAGAAAAAGGTAAAAAAAAAAAAAAAAAAGAACAAACCTGCATGTACAAATATATACATACATACACACACACACATATATATATATATATATATATATATATATATATATATATATATATATATATATATATACTCCTTTTTTGTGGTGGCAAAAGAATTGGAAATTAAGGGGATGCCTATCAAGTGGGGAATGGCTGAACGAGTTGTGGTATATGATTGTCATGGAATATTATTATGCTATATGAAATGGCAAGCAGGATGGTTTCAGAAAAACCTGGGAAGACCTATATGAACTGATGCAAAGTGAAATGAGCAGAACCAGGAGAACATTATATACAGTAACAATAATGTTGTAATGAATTTAGCTACTCGGATCAAGACAACAATCCAAGATAATTTCAAAGGATACATGATGAAAAATGCTCTACATTTCCAGAGAGAGAACTGATGAAGTCTGAGTGCAGATTGAAATGTAGTGGGTTTTTTAACTTTATTTTTCTTGCTTTTTTGCCACATGGATAATATGAAAATATGTTTTGCATGACTTCACATGTCTAATTGATATGACAATGTTTGCCTTATCAATGGGTGGGGGAGGGACTGGAGAGAGGGAGAGAATTCAAAACTCAAAATTTTAAAAAAAGGAATGTCCATAAATATAAAATCTTCCATTGAAAGGGGTTGGAGGGAGGAAGAAAAAGATTGTGCTTCATTCTGCTATGCCTAACTCTACACTGTATTTTGTTGACACAGAGACTGCCATGTTTCTTTGAGACTTACTTGGCAGATGGCAGAATCTGAACAAGTTCCATATGTCTGATCTTCCTGTCTCACTTACAAAACAGTACAAAATTGGATCTGCCACACAATTTAAACTTGTCAGGGCAACGGTGATTCGATAAAGTTTAAATATCTGCTTGCCGAAGTCTGTGCTGTGCTTTCCGACGCTTAGAATCAGCAACATAGCGTGGAAAGGGGTAAAGCATAAGAAAAAAGTGAGCGTGACGCTCAAGAGCAACTTGACGATCCTCTTCTTTTCACGGCTTTCTGTAGCTTGATTGTGCTTTACTGCTTGGTAGACTTTTTGGTTGCAAAATATAATTATGACCAAGGGTATCACATAACCGGTGCATGTCCGAAAGACGTTGAAGTTACTTTGCCATTTCTCCAAGGGGTATTTGTCAAAACACAGAATATAAGACTTATTGGTACCACAGCGTTCAATAGACGTTTCATCCTTCCAGATAATGATGGCATTGAACGATGTTTCTACGATCCAGATTGATAGGCTGATGAAGGAGGCGATTCTTCTTGTTCTGAGATAGGGAAATTTCAAAGGATAGACCACCGCCAAGTACCTATCAAGGGAGATGCAGGAGAGGAAGGCAGTGCTACTGTAGAAGTTCACGTACATCAGGAAAGCACTCACTTTGCACAGGGCAGGAGAGAATGTCCAGTTGTCCTCATTCCAAGTGTAATGTATCCAAAGGGGTAACGTCGATGAGTAGAGAAGATCAGAGAGTGACAGACCAAACAGGTAGACTCCCAGTTCGTTTTTCTTCTTCATCTGCAGACACGAGACACACAGAGACCCGACATTGGCAGGAATGCTGATGACCATCACGAAGACATAAATGACGGGGAACAAATAGTGATCGACGTGGTGCTGTTCTTCAATACACTCAGTTTCATTCATGATTTGTTTTCTGGCAATAGCGTCAGTTCTTTTGGATGGTACAGTAGGTGGTACTCCTGACCTGGAGTCAGGAAGATCTGAGTTCAAATCTAGCCTCCGATCTTTACTAGCCACATGATCTTGGGCAAGTCATTGAATCTCTGTCTGACTCAGTTTCCTCATCTGTAAAATGAGGGATAAGACTATTACCTAATTTCCAGGGTTGCTGTAAAAAATAAAATGAGATAATATATGTAAAGTACTTTACAAACCTTACAGTGTTATATAAATGCTAGCTATTATTGTTATTCTCTAAAAGTCTATGAAAAAGTGAAACTGTGTTCATTATTAGCTCATATACTAAGCTCTCATAGGTTGGTCTTGTTTTGCGATGCCATTGAATATTTGGGGCCTAGAGATTTTTCCACAAATGCCTATGGATTGGTGTCTGGCCATTAACTGAGACCAGCAGCTAGGTTGAAGAAACTTGATATTATGTTATCATAGTTCCAGAAAACTGACAAAAGAGATCAATTAGTCCATCACATGGCCTGGAGGTAGGACCATACTTTGTTTGTCAATCTCCATAAAACTGAAGTTAGCTTGATCACAATAGGAATAATTAATATTTTGCTTTAGCAAAGGTTCAAGTTTCTTCTTAAATGCCTTTGATTCTGTAAGGAAAGAAAAAACAGTTGTGTCATATTTTATACTCAGAATCTAGTTTAAAAAGAAGTATTTGGGGGCAGCTAGGTGGCGCAGTGCATAGAGCACAGGCCCTAGTCAGGAGGACCTAAATTAAAATCTGGCCTGAGATACTTAACACTTACTAGCTGTGTGACCCTGGGCAAGTCACTTTAACCCCATTGCCTAGCCAAAAGAATAAGTATTTCTTGATTGTTTCATGGTTTTTGAAATACCCTTTTCTCTCCCGCAGATCTTAAAAATGCCTTGATATATAATTCTGAAGTTTTTAAAAAGCAAATACTAAATCATAGACTTTAGGAGGTGAAAAAAGAAACTAAGCAGTTGTGTCTATCATAGAGAAACTTATAGAAAAGAAGTTAGATTTGTAATAATAGTTTTCCACAAGTATGATGAATTCCAGGGTTTCTCCCACTTGAGGATTAATAAAATGATTAGAAAATGCTTCTCCCCCACATATACACACACATACATACACACACAAACACAAACATAAAAGTAATAATAAAATCATGTTCATGTGTTGCACATGTCAGGACAGGAGAAACTCTTAGACCTGGGTTCTTTCCTGTTTACTCTTATACTGCAAAATAGGAACCTCCTGCTTTTTCAATCTGATCCAGGCAAATGGCTCTAATGACAGGAATTTCAGGAAGGAGAGGAAAGGAATCCATAGTCACAGGTCACCAGAGGCCAGTGGAAGAGAGAAGAGAGGATGTTTAGGGCAGAAAATGCTTCTTACATCACGTTCTTCCTATGTTGCTTATGTAGCATTCCGGGCTGGGAGGCATCTCCAGCTGTCTTGTTCTATATCTTGCCACTGGATCCAAATGGCTCAGGAAGAGAAAGTGAGGCTGGTGACTTTGCACAGCCCTTCCTCACTTAAATCCAATTCACTTGCATGTCATAGCATCATCTCCCTGACGTCATGGCTCTCTTCGAGGACTGAAGACAAACAACAACAACCAGGACAGGAGAAAGCATGGGGTCATAAGATTTCAAACGTGCAGTTTGTAGGACAATATCCAAATCTGCATACCATCCAAGTAAAATGTGTCATTAGCACTGCTGAAAGTTCTGTAATTTAAAAACCAACCAACCAAAAATCTAACAATATACTGAATGACTTAAACTATGTGAATTTAACACGTGATATATCAGACTCTTCAGCATACCATTAGTCTTCTTGTTTTGCTAGTAAAATCACCTTTTCATATACATATCACACACACACACACAACACACACACACACACACACACACACACACACAGAAATAGCATTGATCAGAATTCCAGCACGAAAGTTGGGTTTTGTTGGTAGCAGATAAACATAACAAAAGTAGGGTCGTATACCAGAAGTTTTATTGACAAAAGTATTGCCCTTTTCTCTTATTTTTTTTTCTTGCCTATCTTTTGTATACCAATCAGTTCCTTGGGTTTCCCTCCCCCCCCCCCACCAAGAGTCTCTGAAAAAGGTTTTGGAGATACAGAATCCCAATCAGAGATGTAACTCAATTTAAAAGGAATTTCTTAAGCCTAAGTCAGATATTTATCTGGATCACTGACTTCAAACTGGCCCAGATGTTGAAGAAAAACAAACAAACAAACTAGAGTTAATCTTACCGTTGGGGCTGTCTTTTGTTAGTTCTTCCTGGCTGGCCACATGTTGGTTCACAAAGAACCCTGATGCCCTGTCTCTTGCCAAGTCACAGATACCCTGTCTCTTGCTGAACATTTCTTCTGACCTCAGAGTAACTGAGTTTATTCTCTTTTACTATCTCTTAGTTTCAACAATCTACTCCCATCTACAGTCAATTCTGCTATAACCAGACATACACAACATAAAAATCATCACACAATGCAAAATTGTGCAATAAAAGCTACAGAGCTTATGGGGGGAAATGGAGTTAGAAACACAATCCTAAAAAAAAAAACAAACTTCTGTCAGTGAAACAGTTACAAAAAAAGATAGGAATTTAATAAAAATGAAAGCACATTTTTATATTAAATAGTTAAGAAATACATAAATGTTACCCCAAAAAAGTAGCTACTATGGATATAGTCTCAGACTGCTTTTCATCCTACTCCCAGATTCTGTGGGGCCTGGGTTGGCAAAATTGATGCCTAGAAGGGAAAGGGTGACCTTAATGGGTGCAAACAGAGGAGTAGGGTATAGAGTGGCTGTAACCATCGCTGAAGTAGGGGACAGAGTATGTGAATGAGGACCAGTACTCCTCTATCCACAACTACTACTATATCAGAAGATACACAGTAACCATGGCGTTTTACTTTGAAAAAGATTTGGAAACGGATGTCAAAAGGGTAACAGCTAATGAGTTATTATGAAATAGCGGTTTTCTTCACTTTTGCTGTTTCTCTCAGAGGAAACTGACCATTAGCAGTTTTTTATTATGCTCTAATTATTTCCTAACATATCAATAGCTGGATATAGCTAGAATAAATCTGTGTCTTCAAAACAAGCATTATAGCAGAACCAACTTTACTACATTGTGGTGGCTATAAAACTTCTTGACAGGGACAAGCAGACAACTGTTACTGACTAGATGTCCTGGCTCATAGAGTATTACTTATCAAGATTTAAAAAGCCAGCTGTTCTAAAATGGAAAACAGGACAAATGAATTTGTTATTTATAAAACGGATCTTTTTGGTTGTTGTTCTACTGTTTGATAGTATTAAAGAAAATGTACCTATTTTTTAGCCTTGTTCAGTTGTTAAAGACTGGGATGTATTTTACTAGTTCATTCTCAGTCAACAGCCTTAATATCAAGTATAAACATATTTATCTGTACAATGAACCTTAGTGGGAATTTCACTAGCTGTCCTCAAGTTCATGGAGAAAGGCATACATTATGTCCATGTATATAAATATGTAGGATTCTTAAAGATAAGATAACAAAGAATGCTTTTGGCAAGATTTATAAAGTTCTGGTGGTGGTAGATCTCACTATTCTCTGGCACAGAATATATGGAAATGTAATCTTGACAAGACAAGGTGGGATTTTACCAAAGCTAGATAGGAATCTCCACTGATTTTGGGGGGCCCACACAATTGGGGTCCATGTACTCCTAGTGCCTATATTCTTTAGCAGGGGGAAGCACTGTTTTCATGAGTCATCTCCGCACAGCCTGGAAAAACCTTAAACAATAATGAGTGTAAATGCATAATAGAAGTTGGCTTTTCTCCTAGTAAACTGTTAGAGACAATAGTTGTCATGAGAATCTTTATGGAATATATACTTGTTATAATTTACGTACCTTTTCAGATAATTTTGGGGTTATTTAACTGACTTATGGGGAAAACTTTTTTTAAAAAGTGTTGAATTAAATTTTAAAAAAATTTCTACTTTACTTCCTTTTTACAGAAATTAAATGAGAATCTGAATGTAAGTTAATCTAAGAATCTGAAATATGGGTTAGAATCTGAAAATGATGAGAATCTGAAAGTGGGCTAAAGAAATGTGATTTTTTTTCAAAGTAAGAAAACATAAGAATCAGATCATAGTTAATTTTAAAATGATGGAATATATGAAGGAATTGTGATTTCCCCAGGGAGAGAACTCCTATGGTGAGAATGACTTAGTAGATAAATTCTAGGTACCTAAAGGTTAAATGACTTGCTCAGGGTTACACACTTATGAACTTCTTAATATAGGATAGGTGATAATGTGATTAAAATAAAGGATATTTTTACAAAACATCATAGTAGTACTTGGTTCACTGTTCTTTATTCTAAAGTATACTCCTCAACAGTAACACACCTAATCTTCATAATATTTAGGTGAGGAATATGAAAAAGAATCATTACACCATTTTGAAGATAAAGAAAGAGTAAAAGTCATTTTAAGAGCCAGAAATACCTCTACTAGCTAAACTAGTAATGCTTTCTTCTAGACCACATCATCTTAAACATGTACAATAATTTGCCAACAAATTACTTGAAAAAAATTAAATGTAAAACATTAGGAAAATATTTTTCTTTTTCCTTTTGGATCTGGAGATTTCTTTCCTCACTACTTCTAAGTTGGAATTTTGATATCTGCTCACCGCTACACAGGGTAGAGAAAACTCCTATTCTTCCTCATTTGTGCCTTGCCAATACAAGGACTTGTTAATTATGTGAGTATAGAAATCCTCTTTGTAAATATTAGCCTTTTTTATATAGTCATATTAACAGAAACAGTCTTAGTTATAATCTTTTAAAAAAATTTTCTTCTCTCTACTTACCCAGGTGTCTCAGGGGTAGCAGCTCTTTCTGCTGAGATACTTGATAAATCTGCTCAACTTTAAAGAAGTGGGAAAAAGCAGCACAATCTACAGAGACAGGAAATTGCAGACATTTCACAATAAACCAATGAGGAAGCAGCATCTTGATATGAAAAAATGATCATAACTCAAGTTTAGGGGACAAAATACTTTCCCAGATAGTTTATAGGCTGACTTTATTTATTATTCTGAAGTAAATTAAAGAAAATCTTCTCATTCTATCTTAAGGATTATTGCATGAAATAAAGTTAAATATGTTTTACTTCTATTAAGTACTCTTGTAACAAGAAAACCCACAGTTTTGAGTTGATCAAAACTGACCCCTACAGGATTGAATCAGGCATTGGTTTCATTAATATCATGCTCTGAACAAATAAACCAACAATTTCAGATGAAAACTAGGAAATACATGTGTGTGTGTGTGTGTGTGTGTTATGTGTGTGTGTGTGTGTGTGTGTGTGTGTGTGTGTATAATATACATATATATGGACGATGAATTGAAAATAATCAACAGAGGAAGACATTAGACTTGAGGAAGATTGGGAAAGGTTTCTTGTGGGATTTTAGCTGAGTCTTGAAGGAAGCCAGGGAAGCCTGAAAGTAAAATGAGAAAGGAGAGAATTCTAAGCATAGGAGACTTTATAAAGAATGTTTACTGTTGCAAAATTCTACAGCTGAAGGGGTAGCTAGGTGATGCAGTGGACAGAGCACCGGCCATGGAGTCAGGAGGACTTGAGCTCAAATTCAGCCTTAGACACTCACTAGCTGTGTGACTCTGGGCAAGTCACTTAACCCCAGTTGCCTAACCAAAAAATGTATAAGTCAAAGAAATTGCTTTGAATCTAATTTTTAACTCTCATATGTGGCTTATAACTGATTTGATGTACCAATGAGGAAGAAAACATAAAAAACCATCCCTTGGATGGTTTTTATTTCAAAAATTCAATTCAATAAGCATTTATTAAACAGTTAGAAGTAATCACAACAATTATTAAACAAGTTCAAAGTATTGTACAAGATTCTAGGGACAAGAAGATGAAGAACAGTCCCATTCCTCCAGAAGTTCATGGCCTACTATGGGGTATAACAGATATGAAAAAATAAGTATTATTCAAGGAAGAATGTGATAAGGACAACCCAAGGGTTATAAGAGTTATGACGAAGGAGTGCTGCTCAGAGAAGCTTGAGTTTCTCTTCTGTGAAAGGGCACTGAGTATTTTAAAAACCAAATGAGGAAGTATTGGCCTTGCAATATATCCAAGACTTTTTATCTTAATTGTTGTTAGTAGAGAGATATTTGGTAAAGGGAAACTTTGCTAAACCTGTATTTTAACAACTATGACATGTAGGAACACAGAACTAGAGCTAAGAGGGATCCCAGATACCATTTAGTGCAACCCTTTCATTTTCGTAATTGTGGAACAGAATCCCAGAGAGGTCATGTGATTTACTCCAGGTCACTAAGACAGCATGTTTCATCACTGAGGTATCAATCAATACCTTTAACTCAAAATGGAGTGGGTTTTTTTTTTCATTGCAACATAATGCCTTCTAAGAGTTTACCTCTTTAACAGCATGAATGTTAGGCCTACATATTATTCACATACCCAGTCCTACTACCAAGTATCAATAGAATGAAAGTAATCATTTGCTTGGTCGTGATTCTCTTCTAAGAAATTTATTTTTGCTGTTTGCATATCTTCTTTTTTCTCTGTGGTTACAAACAAGGGTTATTTCATGACGATAACTCACAATCCTTACATTAATTAAATGTGTTATACTTCTGCTTTCAGGGAGAAGAAAATTTTGCATTCACCTCAGATATTTACGCACTCTGTTCTAAAAAATAAGGATGTGGGTGGCTTTTTGTTAAAACTCAAGAAATACACACCTCCCTGATTCAACAGGAGAAAAAAAAATGAAGATGACCTAGCAAAAAGCTTACCAGCTTTTCAGACATGTGATTTATTAGCATGATGTGAGACAAGTCAATTGGGGCCCAGTCCTTTCAGAATACGGAAGCCAACTCAGAATGTGCTTCTGGAAATTCATGTTTTTGTTTGTTTTTTGAGACAATCTTGCCCAGTCTAGAAGTACTGCAGCTATACATAGGCCCATTGCCACTCCTGATTGCCATGGAAGCTTGGCTCCCCCTCTTTAGGCAGACTTGTGGCCCCACATTCCCATGGGCTCACTGTAGTGATGCCTGACAGTGTGGACCCCCAATTGGCGTTTGGCTTACTATAGCTAAGAACTCTTGAACTCAAGGGATTCACAAGGCTCAGCCTCCTCTGGGAGCAGGAATCATAGGTGTGAGCTTCCATGTCCAGAAGGATGGTGTGTAATGGTGGTCCTGCCCTCCCCTTCCAAGTATGAGGAGGTATTCTGTGACTATTTCTTGCCGCCTTCCTGCGGGGTGAAGAAAAGCCTTTTAATAGGCTTCTGAACTAGAAGTGAGAATGCACAGAAAATTGCAATGGAGGAACTAGACCTTTGCCTTGCTGGAAATTACTGTGGGACTCTGAGAGAGAGAGGAGCCTTCAACTCTCTCCTACCCAGTATCATGGAGCCATAAATGCATGCTACTACTGTTTTTCTGTCTCTGACGTGGCTCATTGTTTCCTTTTCTTAGGTGAATGGGTGTAGGAGGAGGGAAGCACTAGGTTGTGATATTAGCTTCAAAAGGTTGAACCACAAAAGGCCCAAAAATTGAAATCGATACCAGAGTTGGCTGGAAACCTAGGCTAGGGAGGAAAAGGCTGCTTGACTCATTGCCCAGCTGTGGATTAACTTGAAAGCTGAGATGCCATATCCTTGAGAGCAAGGTAGTGACTTATCCTTCTACTACATCACATTCAGAAGTGAACTTGGTGAGAGAAAAGATTTGTATAGCTACACCTTTAATTTTGAGCCTATTCTCTCTAGGGATTAAGGTCTAGAGGGTAGAGTGTGCCACAGTTTAGAGGTGAGAAATGTTTTGTACTTCAGTTCTTACAGTATCATTTCGTTTAAAAAAAAATTCTTTTGAAAAAGCTAATTGATGTTGACTATCAGTGATAGTGATTGAGGCAATATTAATGGATAGATAAATTGATATTTGGGGGAATACACCTGATGGAGGCTTAAAAGTAAGAGTATTACAGAAAAAAATACCCTAACCCCTTCAAATTACTGCTAGATCTCCTAGGGGCATGGTAGCCTTTCTCTGGGGACCCCAGCTGCTAGTGAGCATTGTTACTGTTCTCCTTCTTTCCTTCTTGAAGAGGACCAATGACATCAGGAGGGTGATATCTTAACTTGTGCATGAATTGGATCCAAGTGAGGCAGAGCTGAGCAAAGTCTTTAGCCTCACTCTTTCCTCCAGAATCATCAAAGTCCAGTGGCAAGACAGGGGTCAAGATGACTGGCAATGGCCTGGGTTGGGACAGCATTCCTCACAGCTCATAAATGCTATGTTACTTTTAACAACATTGCTTTCTTTTTCTTTATCTTGAATATACCACATAAATGTGGCAGCGTGTTTCCAGCAAGACAAGACCATCTTAGCATTTTGACTACCATCTTTCCTCACACTCTGGTGGAAACAGCCCAGGCCTATGAACCTAAAAAGCCTTTGGGACATCAATGGTTCCATCTCATTGCCCACAGTCCTTATCCTGGAAAGCATTCTCTGTGGTAACACAGCCTGGCAACTCCTGTTGCAGGGGCTACAGCCACAGCTCCTGAAGACCCAGAAAAGAACCTTCTTGCCACCAAAGTCTTTAGCATTGTCAAATGGTTTAACATCAGAAACGCTATGATTTTATCGGTGGAAATAGCATTAAAGAGGAGGCATTACCATCTGCTTTGTCAATGTACCCTAAAGACCATGACATCTTTTCTGTCTGACTTGCAGCTAAAACTTTTCGTATGTGTTGTGTGCTCCATGAGAACAGGGACTGTCTTTTCCATTTGCCTTAGCATAGTGCTTTGCACATAGTAAGTGCTTTATTAATTCATTAACATGTTATTCTAGAAGTTTTCAGTGATATTGAACACACAAGACACTGAAATGATAGGAAAGGGGGAAAAAGTCAAACCGTAGGGATCCTGTGTCAGCTCAACTGGCCAGAGGACTGTGCTAATTGAACTTAGGTCTAAGATCAAATTACCCTGCTAGATCAGTTATTTATAATCATTCCAATACCACAGACCATACCATTCACATTGGAAGTGTCCTGTGAATAAATGTGCTTGGTCATAAAAGGGAAAAGGGAAGGGAATAAGTGAATTAGCACAACTCTATCATCTTTGTTGTAAAAACAACTTCAAATTGTAATTATATTATTGGTAAATTAATTTATAAGATCTACCTTAACAGTAGGAGAGCGCCACCTATATGTGTTGGTTAGTATTAGCTAGAGCTCAGTATTAATATGGTCAATCAGGGATTTGATTGCAGTGGTATGAGATTGAAGAGTACGAGGCAGGACCTCTGATTGAAAATAACTCCCTACTGTCATGATACATGAAAAAGAAAGAAAGAAAGTTCTGTTGCCCAACTGGAAGTTTGGTCCCTGGTGGGCATGTTGCAGTCTAGGGGTGCTGGGAACCCCGAAATTCAAGGGCAAAAGATGTGGGTCCTCCCTCAAAAGAATTCAACTCAAGCCTTCTTTCAGTCAGAGACAAGATTTATTAAAACACAGGTTGGGGTGGATGAGATTCCTAGTGAGTTGTGCTGTTGGCCAGATTTTAAGAATCTGAGCCCTTTAATGGAGGGAAGATGGACTTTTCATACAGAAAGACCGTGGGAAGATCTAGGAGTGGTCAAGTAGTCTGGAATGACAATGAGGTAACAGAGAAGGGGTCTAGAAAGAATAAGGGTGGGAAGTGGCTGGAGAAACCAAAGGTAACAGACAATGAAGGGCTGGGCTAGGTTAGAGGTAAGGGAGAATTGGAGATTGGGGCATGGTCAAGGCCACAATGCAGGGACAGTTGAAAGGATTACACTGAGATGAGCCTCAGGTGAATGCCAGTTCCATGTGTG